ATTTGATCCACCGCGAAATGCCGGCGAACCCAGGTGCGTACTTCGGCAGAAAAGAAAGACACTCCTCGGCGACGTCTCCTGATGCGTAATTTTCGAGAAACGAGTACAAAGGCGCGGACCGCTCCGTTTGACGGCGGGTACCGGCAAGTGCCGGCGCGACATCGGTATCGGCGCGCGGCGTGGCGGCGCGGCGGCTCGGCCGCAAAGGGCGGGCGGCATCGCGAGGATCGGTCGTAGAGGGATGACCGCGAAGCCAAGGTCGACGGAGGGCACGTGGCACATTTCGAAGAAATCGAGTGGTTGCTAGGAGACGTCGTAGGGGAGTGAAACGTATAAAATAAGCAAGGGCACCGGGCCCGCACCTTCATTCTCTTATATTTGTTGCTACACGCTTCATTCTTTATATTTGTCGTTACGAGGCTTCACTTATAACATGTCACTACGGGACATACTTGTTTGTCATTATGGACTTTACTTTATATTTTGCAAAGACTTTCATTGCGTGAGCAAGTATTTCGGCATTTGATTGTAATATTGATGTCTATCACTCGCAGACTGAATTATAATACATTGTTATAATAATTGAAATAAACTGTGCGTATTCACCGTCGAAAAAATTGAGTTGTTCTGATACACTAATATTATAACCAATGCATTAAAATATAAATTTTGAATATATAATTCTTTATAATTCTTACGAGATCCAAGATTTCTTCAGAAAGCTTATTATTAAGACGCGATAGATGTGTATGAAGTGTTGTTTGAAATTTCTTCATCAATCTATCATCTGGATCAAGAACATTTAATGCAGGAGTTATGGAAGAATCCATTTTATTTATGTTTTCTTCTGCTAATTATTTTTCAAACGTTTCCTTGTTTCTTTATCTACAATACGAGAAATAAATCATAAATGTGAAACTTTATTAAATCCATTAAACCTTCATTTAACCGGCTTTCACATTACTACTAATATTGACATATCATTTACATTTAAATGAACGTGGTGATCATGATAACGTCTATTAATTAAGATATGCGAGAAAGTTAACTTACTTTAAATGTGCTCTCAAAATATTTCCCGGGGTGGGGGGAATACAAGATGGCGGCGAATGAATAGGACGCGTGTTTGATTATCCTGGTTTAATTTTGATTTTTCTGCTTTTATTTTGTTTTTGCGTTGAGCTAGTGGTGAGGAGAGGGACGCATAAGCGGTTAGGATTGTTAAGACAAACTGATTTTAGTGATTAGTGATAGAATAAGTGTTTGATTGGTGTATAAAAGTAAAGAGCTCCCCTGGTTGGGAGAGAACCAGGGGAACAATAAAGCGGAAGGGGAGAGGGGTGAAGAGTTGGGTGGAGGAGAAAGGAGGAAAGATAAAGAAAGAACGGAAATGGAGAAGAGAAATGATTAGGACGGTGAGAAGAGAGCGGGAAAAAAAGAAGAGAGAGGAAGAAAGAAGAAAATATGAAGGAACTAGGAGAGATGTAGGGAGGGATGCGAAGGGAATAAAGCTTTTAAAAAAGCTGAAAAAAGATTGTTCGCTGGAGTACTTGGCGGAAGAGGTGGAAGAGGTGATAAGCGTAATGCCATGATTTTCAAGAAAGCCAAAATCCGATAATGGGGACCTCTGGTGGCGAACTGGGAAGCTATAGACAAGGATAGATAGATCCTTGTCTCTCCAATGTATCTTTCTTTTCACGAGACGAGGCAAAATTCGTTTTCTGGCACGCGCGGCGAAACGATGGTGCCGTAGCAAGGTCGGCGGGCGCCCGCGGCATCGATTTTTAAAAAATTTTTATATGCGGATGTATGCACATGTAATTTTTTGTTGCAATTTTAGAGAAATAAAGGAATATATTGTTAATAATCGTTTATAGTTGTTAGTTTGTTTTTTCAGCAAATTAGTCATTTTTTCACGTACAACTGATTCTAAATGTGGCTGCGATGGACGTTCGGCGCAGGATATGTGAATAATTTGTTTATTATTTAGTCTGAAATCATATATGCTAAACTGGTTCGAAGAAGATACCGTATCGCATGAAATATAAGATGTATATACATTTGCACGTTCCTCGGAAGAAATAACGCAGATATAAGAGAAAAATCGATTGCTACTACGAGACGAAATAGTTAGTTGTATTAAAAATAGAAGAGACAAAAATTTATAAATAAAGCATATGCGTAATAAAAAGACTTTTTTAATAAAATGCACTGTTTGTAATAATTACCATAACTCTACATATTTTGTAAGATAGATATAGATTTAATGATAAAAGAATGTTATATACAAAAATAATTTATGTGATTGCTTTAATACTATTCCTGCAAGAGAAAAATATTCAAAGGTCAGGTATAGGAAATATGTAATGTGTTTCGGGTGATTAAAATTTTTAACGTGAAAGAGATCGGCAAACGGAAAAGAAAGACAGATAGAATGTTGAATTGGTCGGCAAACAAGAAAGACTCGTGCGTGTTTTGTCTTTTGCATTCAAAAATCAAAATTCTTTATTTTTGGTTTTTCGTGAATGAAACTTTGATCATCGTATTCGTCTTGTTGTTCTAATTAAAATGAGACCAAACACGATATAATTTGAAGCATAATTACTGGTTTAGATTTGACGATAAAAGTTTCTGACGTAGAGGAGGATAGCGAGTGAAGAAGAAAGAGACACTGCGGTCGTGGCAGTCGGCAAAGATCAAAAGTCTGTTCAATTGTTTGCAATGCTTATGCATTGCTAACTTTTTTATTTTTGATCTATTTTGTATACAACTTGTTTCATCATATTCGTGACATTTTCCTGATTAAAATGAGACCAAACACGACGTAATTTCAGTTATATGTACTTGCAATATCTTATTGGAGTAAAGTCATCGATGTACGCGTAACATCTTACGTCGTAGTCCGTTATGTGTCGGAACGTAAGACACTTTTCCAAGTAAACAATTGGCTGAGAGGTGAGGAGTCCTGCCTCGTAATCTGTGCATCCTGTTTGTCGTAGGTTCGATCCCACTGAAGGTGGTTTCTTTTCATGTTACGTTTTTCATTTTTTTTCTTTTGTAATTGTGAAATTATAAATAAATATAGCATGTGGCGTCATCTTGCAGTGCGAGCAATGCATTTCGTTAGAAATGCATAAAAAAAATAATTGAAAAATGCACTTCCTTCTCCTTGTTCGTAAAATGAAAACGCGCGCGGTGTAAATTGATGTATGAGAAAGTTATCCCAGCATTATTAATTAATCTTGAAGTTAATATGTGTATTCTTTGTGTTTAACATTAAATAATTAATTTGTAATTGGAAGTGTGTTATTAGTTTTTGATTTTCTCCGATCCTGATTATTTAACAATAATAATATTAAAATAAATTCAAACTGTTTTTAAATAATTGTTATTTACAAGATATAAAACATCTGCAATTAATAGTATACATGTACAATAATATTTAATACATGTAATAGAGATCCTAATCACGTACAATATTAATTACGTATTATGAAAATAAAAATCGAAATAGTGAGGCAGGTTATGACTGTTCATGTGTTGTGTACAAATGCAATTCCCCTTCCAAAGAGACATTTCTTCGCAGTAAAGAATGAGTGTGTCATCAGAATGAATTGTGTCGTTGACGACAGTTCTGTATCGGCTATGGCCACGAAAGAATAAAATAAAGAAGTAAAATATTTTAAACGTGCTCACTTCGCAATAATTGATAGAAAAGTGAATGAAGAGCAAGATGTAACCGAGTGTCATATATGATTTTCAAACTTTGTCGTAGATTGGTGCTCCAAGGAGAAAGGTGATGGCCTTTAAAAACGTCGAGTTTGATACGGCAAGAGGCATGGTGACGCGCTCGTTGGGAGAGAAGGAGATGGATAGGATAGGTGGAATTGAGGAGATAATAGGAAACAGTGGGGACTTTCCGGCCCTAGGGGTAAAAGAAAAGAGAGAGTTTTGGGAAAAGAAGGAGGTTCCGATTCAGAGGGAGTTGGAGAACATTAGGCGTCTGAGGTATGGCAATGGAGGAGAAGGAAACAGAGGCAGAGGTCAGGGAGTACAGGGAAGACTCACTTTTAGTGAAGTAGCAAGAAGAGGTGGAGAAGAAGAAAGAAATGAAGAGGAGGAGGTAAATGGGGGTCAGGACAAAAAGGGGAGCGAAGAATCGAGGGAGGTAAATAGGAAAGAGAAAGGAGAAGAAGGGGGATGGAAGAAGGTTAAGGAAGGTGTTAGGGCGCCTTTCTTCAACAGAAAGACGGATCTGATACTGTCAAAGAACAGATACCTTTGCCTCGAGTGTAAAGAGAAGACGAAGAAGAAGAAGAAGAAGGAAGCAGAGATGGAGGTATTGGAGAATATACCAGTATCATATTACCAAGGGGGGGAGGAACCCGAGGGAGAGGGCGAGTATGAGACACCGAATTTGACAGTGAATGTGAAAGAAATAGAGAAAGAGAAAGAGAGGACGGGATGGCGACCAGAAAACAAGAAATAGATTGTGAAAAAGAGGAAAAAAGGGAGAGAGAAGATTCAAGGGGAAGTAAGAAGATGGAAGATTTGGAACAGAAATTGTGGAACGAAACAGAGAATTGAATTAATAATATAATAAGGGCAGAAGAGGAAAAAAATGGAAGAGAGGGTGAGGAGTTGGCAAGGAGGAAGAATGAGGAGATGGAAAGGGGAGGAGAGGAAGAAGAAGATGAAGAGCAAGGGGAAACATGGTGGACAAAGTGTGGAGCAAGAAGGAGAAAAGGGGGATAAAGTGGAAAAGATGGGAGTGTGAGTGTGAGAGAAGTGTTGGGTGGGCGAACAGGGAAACCAATAGAGAAGTAGAATATGTAGGGAAAAATGAATATACAAGGGAATCGATAAGTGCGAAGGAAAGGATAAAAGGCAAGAAAGAGGAAAGAGGTGCAGATGGTAGAGCGTTAAAAGAAAAAAGACTGAAAGGAACAATATTGGTTCTAGATATAAGAATACTTTATATTTTTGATATTTTTGATATTTTGTCCTATAATTATAGCTATAGTTAAGCTTAGAATAGGTGTGAGTAATTTAGATCTAAGGTTTGTGCCTTTTGAACACTTAAAAAAAGGAGTGGTGGATAAACTCAAATTAGAGTGTGCGACAAAGTATATGTTCCTAGTACTTCAGTATTATAAAGGGAAAAAAGTAAATATATTTAGATATAGGGAAAACAAGTGCCTGATAAGAAACCAAAGGAAGGGAGAGAAGAAGGAGGAAAGTTTTCACTTTTTGTTGGACTGTATAGATAATGCTGTGATGAACTCTTTCTTTTACATAGTCTATATGTTTTGTATTTCTTTTCTAGATAAGATATCTTCGTTTGTGTTTTCGTTTTTATTTTTGTTTTTGGTTTTGTTCTATGAGTTAAAATGTAATACAATCAAAGAAAAGAGGTATTATTTGAAAAATGTTAAAGATTTTAGAGGAGGAGGAGACACGGCTACGCTCGAAGGGAGAGAGAAGAGAGAGGTGAAGAGCGATGGACTGTATGAGAGAGGAATTGGTGGAGAGAGGTGTGGGCCATGGAATTCGGGTAATGTCGGAATTAAAAGGAATAATGGAAAGGAAAATATGAGAGGAGTAAGAGGAGTGAAGAAGTGGGGTAAAAGTAGTCACAAATGTAACAAACGGGATATGCATAGTTATGAATATAGACGTAGAATGAGAGTGGAAGTAGGAAGAGCGAAGAGCGTAGACCGAGTACAAGCGTATAACATAGCTGGTGCTGCGGTACAATGATATGTGGGGACTGAGGTTCGTGAAGGAGAGCCCGGTGTAATAAATAATGCACGACGACGTTTTCTTGCTATTTGCAAGGATTGCACTTTTTATTAATACGCGCACGTGTAGACTCTTTCGCTTTCGTACAAGAAGTGGAAGAACGACGTTCTTCTTTTTCGCGCCGCGTTCTTTATAAACTAGTCTTACCAACTACTATTTACAGCTTAACCTAAGAAATAAAAAGTAACTAAAAATAGGAACTGTCCAGAGGGCGCATGTGTCGCTGTCGGTACAGTCGCCACAGATATAATGTAAGACTGATGTATTAAAGGCGGAATGAGCCAGCTAGGCCAAAACGCCATCCTCTACGGAAGTAAATAAAAACCTAAATCTTTTCCCGGGGTGAGGGCACTACGATCGTTTTCCACAAAATTCGAATTGTGTCAGCCCTATGCAAATTCATTTTTTTAAAAAATGTTTCTTTGTCTTCAAATTGTATAAAGAACAATTTATTTATCGATTTTTTTATTTCAATATTCAAAAATTAAAAATTCTTAGCGATTTTATTTATATGCAATACATGTATTATTCTAATACCAATTAATTAACTAGTAAAACAATAAAAGTTTGAAGTTAATTTTTAAATAGAAAATTTTTTGTATATATGTGTAATATAGAAGTACATTGTTAATTCATGAATCATTAATATTGATAAAATTGTTTTCAGTATTGACGTTATCCGTTTTACAAGTGACAGTGACATCATCATTTGGCATTAGTAAGCCTTTTTCTGTATTCTGAAAATTGATGATTCACTTTCTATATTTAGTAATCAAGTTGATATGCAATTTTATTACTTTCTAATTACTCAGGGTATATTTTGCAACTTTACTTTATTTTTAGTTATCTAAGTAATTGAACTTAATTTTCTGAACGTTTTTAATTGATTAATGTTTCATTTATTGCAGTTATAATACATTTTTCTTGATAATTACAATACATCAACTAAAATGATTATACTTATATATAACAAATATATAATAAACAATTTATTTTTATAATCAGTAATATTCATATTCATATTTATTAGGTACGTTAGTTGGTTAACGCATACTTTGTAGCCAAGTGTAATGCGCATGCGCAGTTTTGTCTTCTATGACGTTAAACATATACAGGGTGTCTTACAACTAGAGTAACTCCCGGAAAGAGGTTGTAGGGGACGTAATTATGAACAACATAATTTCTCTTCGCAAAAATAAGATTTGATGCTTCATTTTTGAATTATTAAAGAAAAACACAGATCATTTAGCATGCGTAAAGTGCGTGCGCAGACGCGAGAGCGACAACTTCGAGTTTGACAACTGAGCGTAATTGTGAACAAGCATCTTTGCACCGAGACAATGTAATCGTTTAATATACAGCTCTTATGTCAAAGCTTAGTTAATTAATGTTAAAAGCAATTAAAAATTATGATAAGCCAATTCGAATCAGACTCACCTATTGTTTGAAAATAATCCTGTTCCAGTAAAATTGTGTTTTCTTGATCTCGAAGTTGTCGCTTTCGCGCTCAAGTGCGCGTAATTCTCACGTTCTAATTGGACCGTGTTTTTCCTCAACAATTCAAAAATGAAGTTTCAAACACCATTTTTGCAAAAGGAAATGTTGTTCGTAATTACGTCTCCTACACCCCTTTTTGGGAGTTTTATTAGTCGTGAGACACTCTTAGTGCATTGTATTATGGTTTTTGTATGGACCTGTCTGTTTAACATTAAGCTTAATTTAAAAAGAATTTCTGAACAAAGTACTTAGTTAAGAGACAACTGAAAGAGACAGAGCAGAAGTTTATATTTTAATTTTCGACTTCAATTCTTAATTAAAAAAAAAGTAAAAATTTATCTTTCAAGAAGGAATTTCAGGACTAGTACCTCAAAACTTGGTTTGTAATATTTGAGAATTATGACATTCTGGAATTTTAGAATTTAGCAATAGAAAGTTTCTGTAATATTTTCCTGTATGTGCTAATTTTGCTTAATGATTAATTCAGTTTTTGTTTTCCTGATTTTATTATCATTATTATTTTACAGTTATCATAAAATCTAGCATAATAAAAATATTAACTATTATTAATGCTTTACAATTATTGTGATAAATACTTATTATTAATATTTTTTTACTGTCATAAGTACTTCACTGAATGAGACAATCTCTTTGAACACTTCAAACACTTGATAGGAAGATGCACTTTAAGCACTTGAGAGGAAATGTTTACTCTATAATGTACAGTATATGGAACATATACTAGGTTCTGAAATTTCAAAGTTTCGAAGTTCTACATATTTCGAATAATAATATTTCATTCATTGAATTGAACATTCATTGAATGTTTTGAATTAGATATGATAACACTAAAATCTTTAAGGTATTTGGAGCTTCTAAAGGTCGTAATCCAGTTCTGATTACATAAGATTTAAGTGGATATGTCATTCTACAAGAATAAAAGACTTATGAAATATGTAGGTACATAGTTTTAAGTAGACAGATAATATAATGGTACTCTTGATAACAATTACAAGATTCTTACATAGTCATGTACTCTTAATATAACATCAATTTTATTTACAGATTACATCTTTATTTTGATATGAAGCATTTGTGATATAGTGATTTACAAGCTTATGGATGTATTTAAAGGCTTGATAAAAGTATGTCAAATAAATAGGTAAAACAATAACTTAAAAGAAAAAAATTGTGCATTTGCATTTCTTCTTCTTTAATAGAATTGCATATTTTTTAAAACAAATTGGTATTAAGATACAATACAACAGAATTTAACAATTCGTGAAATACTTATATTTGCCATCTGATGGAACAATTGGTACCTGGATAACCACAAGCAACACTTTTATTCAAACAGGAAGAAATTGCCAAAATCACCATTATGTAATTTAAAGAAGGTCTCTATAGTGTTGATGTACAAGATAAATGATTCACAAGTCCATAATTTATCACAGATTGTACTATCATGTCTGTTTAACATTAAGCTTAATTTAAAAAGAATTTCTGAACAAAGTACTTAGTTAAGAGACAACTGAAAGAGACAGAGCAGAAGTTTATATTTTAATTTTCGACTTCAATTCTTAATTAAAAAAAAAGTAAAAATTTATCTTTCAAGAAGGAATTTCAGGACTAGTACCTCAAAACTTGGTTTGTAATATTTGAGAATTATGACATTCTGGAATTTTAGAATTTAGCAATAGAAAGTTTCTGTAATATTTTCCTGTATGTGCTAATTTTGCTTAATGATTAATTCAGTTTTTGTTTTCCTGATTTTATTATCATTATTATTTTACAGTTATCATATAATCTAGCATAATAAAAATATTAACTATTATTAATGCTTTACAATTATTGTGATAAATACTTATTATTAATATTTTTTTACTGTCATAAGTACTTCACTGAATGAGACAATCTCTTTGAACACTTCAAACACTTGATAGGAAGATGCACTTTAAGCACTTGAGAGGAAATGTTTACTCTATAATGTACAGTATATGGAACATATACTAGGTTCTGAAATTTCAAAGTTTCGAAGTTCTACATATTTCGAATAATAATATTTCATTCATTGAATTGAACATTCATTGAATGTTTTGAATTAGATATGATAACACTAAAATCTTTAAGGTATTTGGAGCTTCTAAAGGTCTTAATCCAGTTCTGATTACATAAGATTTAAGTGGATATGTCATTCTACAAGAACAAAAGACTTATGAAATATGTAGGTACATAGTTTTAAGTAGACAGATAATATAATGGTACTCTTGATAACAATTACAAGATTCTTACATAGTCATGTACTCTTAATATAACATCAATTTTATTTACAGATTACATCTTTATTTTGATATGAAGCATTTGTGATATAGTGATTTACAAGCTTATGGATGTATTTAAAGGCTTGATAAAAGTATGTCAAATAAATAGGTAAAACAATAACTTAAAAGAAAAAAATTGTGCATTTGCATTTCTTCTTCTTTAATAGAATTGCATATTTTTTAAAACAAATTGGTATTAAGATACAATACAACGGAATTTAACAATTCGTGAAATATTTATATTTGCCATCTGATGGAACAATTGGTACCTGGATAACCACAAGCAACACTTTTATTCAAACAGGAAGAAATTGCCAAAATCACCATTATGTAATTTAAAGAAGGTCTCTATAGTGTTGATGTACAAGATAAATGATTCACAAGTCCATAATTTATCACAGATTGTACTATCATTTATCTTATCAAAATAATAAAATAAAAAAAAATGATACCAAAGATATAAGAAGAGATGATATCTAAACATGTTTTGCCTGAAGGTTTTTAAAATAAAATGTAGGAATATATTGGTCTCTTGAATTTTTTTACTTTAATGTTTATATTAATTCTTATATCATTATTTACATAACTGCAAAAACAGTGAAAAAAGCAATTGAAAAAACAATTACAGTTATTCTGGGATTAACAAATGAAAGATTACAGAGTAGCTATTTGTAATTATCTTTAAGATAAAAAAAACCTGTAGTAACTGATGACTAAAAGTTGTATATTAAAAACTAAGACAGGTCTTCTCAGCTATAATTGAGAAGAAAAAATTACAAATTTCATGTGGTATATTTTTATTTGACAATTTCAGAACTATTACAAATTCTAAAAAATTATCAGCATGTACGTTAACTAATTCATCCATTAGCAATTTAAATCTTAAATTTCATGCATACAATATCTTACAAGGTTTATAACATTTAAAAATAAAAAATATATAACTAAATATAATTAATCACACAATATAATAAAGAAATTTTTGAATATATAAATTACATAAACAAAATGTCTAACTACAGAATAAAATAGAACAGTGTCATAAGTTGTAACTGTTATATTTATAGCTCTATATATGTATAATTTGTATATGTCTCTATATATGTCTTTTTTTATTATCAGTAAATTATATAAATACTATACCAATTTAATTTTAAACGAGCTATGTTGATTAGTAGAAGAATATTGAAACCATTTAAATTAGACAAATAAAGAAGTAATAACATTTTTTTTTAAAGCGATTTTATCATTTATATATTGAAATTAACAAGATGGGATGTTATTTTATTTTCTAACACTGCTACATCTACAATATGTCAACTCATTATTATACAATGTTTTATCTCAATTCAAATGTTTTAGATATAAATGTACGAATTTTTATACAACCTGAAATATTTTATATCCATATTAAGTTTGATAGGCAAAGTATAAAACAATTATCACCATCAGTTACTTAGTTCTCTTTGAATATCTATCAAGGATTTGCCTTTTGTTTCAGGAACAATGAAATATACAAAGAAACTTCCTATAGCACTTATTAGAGCAAACAACAAAAATGTGGGACCTTCACTGATTGCATCTTTTAGATCACCATAAAATTTAGTTACAATAAAAGCTAATACCCAGTTTAAAAGACCGGCACTGCTTGCAGCTACACCTTTTACTTCTGGTGAAAAAAGTTCACCCACCATCATCCATGGAATAGGACCAAAACCAAAGCTAAATACAGTAATAAAGATACATACAGCTACTAAAGGTAACCAACTAACTGCACTAACATCCTCTCCATTGTTTTGAAGATAAAAATATATTCCAAGAGCAAAAGTTGTTAGGCACATGAATATTGCAGATAACAGTAACAATATTTTTCTACCTAAACGATCTACAACTAATGTACTTAGAAAAACAGCTATTACTTGTATGGCACCCACAATGATACTGGATTCACTAGGAGATAAATCACTGCCACTTTTTGCAAAAATAGTACTAACATAAAAGATAACAACATTTACACCACTTAACTGTTGAAAAAACATGAGGCCATAAGAAATTATGAAACTTTTCACAGTAGATCTCGATTTAAGTGAAACTAAAAAAGAAGTTTTCATTCTAGCATTGTTTTCTAAATCCTCCTTTTGCTTTTGTAACTCATTCTCTACATTATATTGATTGCCACGTAACTTAATTAAACTTTTTCGCGCAGCGTCTTCATTACCTTTTTGCAAATAATATATAGGTGTTTCTGGCATGAACATAAAAATTGCAAAAAATATAAATGGTACAACAGCAGATATAATAGATAGTTCACGTATATTGACAAAACTTCCCAAAATATAAGATAATAGAATGCCTACAGTAAGAAGTAACTGAAAATAAGATCCTAAACTACCACGAATCTCATTTTCAGCTGTTTCTGCTGAGTACATAGGTGCAGCTACACAAAAAGCTCCAGCACTAAGACCAGAAATGAATCTACCAATATAAAACATAAGTACAGAGTTGGCAAAAATTATAAGCAGCCAACCTACAGTAAAAGGTACCACCATCAGAAGCATTGCATATTTCCTTCCCATAAAATCAGTAAGAAATCCTGTCGGCAAGAATTCCTATTAAAATGCACATCACTCCTGCTCCAAGTGTAGCTAATGAACCCATCCATGTAAATTCACTTCCAGAAATTTGTATGCCATATAAAGCTTGTATTTCTGCTCCATTGTCGCCAGCAGAATTAGTCCATCCTAATACCATGCCAACTGCTAGAGCTCCAAGAGTTGATGATAAACTGGCAATATATTGAGGTAACTTTTTGGCAGGTGCATTTTCATCTCCAGTATTAGATACTAATGTCTGTTGCGAAATTCCAACACTTTTTTCATTCATCTTCAGTATTGGAAGTTACCTTAATGAATATCTGAAAATAATTATTTTTTACAGAAAAAATATATTCGTTAATAATCATACTTTCCTTAAAAGTGCTGTTGTTTACATAGATTTGTAAACATTTATAATAACAACTATAAATTTTTAGTAATCAAACTAACATTTTTTACGTGATATCTACTGGTTCATGTTACACAAAATTGCACTGTTATTGTAGACACATGAATGATTATGGAAAGGTAAACAAATATTCTGTTAATAACATGCTCATAATTGGACCTATTATTAGTAATATTTTATCACCGCGTGTTATCACTATCTTGCTACGTACCTTGCTAGTTAATTAGAGGGCTGAATAAATATTTGCAACACCGAAAGAGACTGTTTCGTTATTAATGGCCGATTGTATAGTAAAATATGTAGTACTTACGGACACTTGAAAATAATCATTATCTTGAAGGCATTTGTTTCTTATCAGTGATGTGGCTAAAACGATTAATCTCGGTTTAATCATTGCATTTGTCTATTACTGTATATATTAATAGCAATCATAAATTACTGACGGTCGACTATAATGCATTGTTTACCTCCTAATTTTCATTTTCGATTTGTTGTTGTATACACCATAATTTAAATTTGAATGCAATGTAAAGAATTGAGTAATGTATACAAGTAAATAAATTTTGATAAAGTTATTGTTTTTTTACTTTTTATGTACACAATTTGAAGTACATGATATGGTGACGTAAAAATTCTATATGTATCTTATCTTGCATGTTCATAGATTTCCTAAAAAATTTGCAGAGTCAATAATATTTTTCCTATATTGTCTTTCATCGTTGGAAAGTCATGATCAGTTTTTTGCAACACATATTTTAAATATTCCCGATTAATATGTTCGTTTCGTAAATTTTCTTCTATTATGCATTCATTTTTGAACATCATTTTATATGTACCATTTTTAATATCATATAACTGTTTTGCTTTTCTCTGTTTAAGAACCAAGCTATGCAAATTCTAAAAAACAATTATATTTTTGAAAAGTCTGTTAATATTATAATGTATTTAAATACATACATAATATTTCATTTTTTCCAAATGCCGAATTTCATTTTCTATATTAGGAATAGGTTCATTTAAATTTTCTAGAAATTCTTGACAGTTGACTATTTGGCTTTGAATACTCTTTATTTGGTTTTTTAATTTCTCTACCACACTGTCTATTTCTTTCGTAACCTATTAAGGATATAAGTTGTATTTAATTAATTTTTACATTATTAATTACTTTAATCACCTACTTTTGAAAGTTGTCTGATTTTTGCTTGCAGGCCAGATAAACGTTTATATATTGAGACTTTCTTGTTATGTTTTTCTTTGGGATTTTTCTTAAGTTTACCAAGTACTTTATCAATCATTACATCTCTTCTTGTGACACAAAGATCCATATCATGAATTAGTTTTTCCTGAATTTTTTTCAAATAAGAAAGCCTTGTTTCCATTCTATGAATTTCACTTTTCATTAATGCTATATCACCAGTACTATGCTCTTCTTTCACTTTTTGTACTGTTTCTTGCATTAATTGTACCTAATGTATATGCAGTACTATTGTTACAACTTAACAATTAAAATATCTACTGTTTTCGTACAACTTACCTTCTTTTGCCATGATAAACTTTCTTGTAATGCATTCTCTAATTCTTCTTTTAGTGAGATCTTTTCGGAATTTAAATTATTTAAATCGCTTCGTAATTTTATAAGTTCTAATTCAAATTCTTGGAAAGATAGAATGGATTCATTTGTTACTATACAATTTTTATTTTCCAATTCCCTTTTCAGATCTTTTTGCATTGATAAATTAGCATTCATGAATGATAACTTTTTATTAAGAGATGCTATAGATTTATTTGTATTTGTTTCTTCTTTTGCTAGAATTTCTAGTGCATAATTTAATTTCAAATTTTTTTGTCTCATTATCATAATCTCTTTTTCAAGAAGATTTAATTGTTGTAACTGTGATTCTCTCTGTTCACTTAATGAAACAATAAATCCTTGTTGACGGAGCCAAAACTGCTGTGATTTCTGAATATTTTGTTCAAGCTCTTGAATACTCTTTTCCAAACTATTAATTTTTAAATCCTGTGGACTTAATTCTTCACCGCCGATATCTGGCAAAATCTGAAATTATTTGTTTACAGATGTAATTTTATTTTAAACTAAATAAAAAGAAAGTAAACAACCAGTACAAAACCTTATCAATAAGTTTATTTATTTCAAGAAGTTTTGTTTGCTTTCTTTCGATAGTAATTTCATATTTTTTTATTTCCTTTTGTAATTTGTCTATTTGATTTTCTTTATCAATGTTATTTTGCAGCATATCTTGTAATTCAGTTTTTTGACTTTGGACAAGATTTGATAGTTTTTCTAATTCTAAAAGATCATTTCCGTATGTATTTTCTATACGAGCAACTAAAATTTCAGAATCTAACACCGAATTTTTTGCATTTATTAACAATTCAGTTATATATTTCGCTGTTTTATTGCTTATAATCTTTTCTTCCAATTTTTTACATATTGTGTCTTCTAAATACTTTTTTTTTTCGAAAACTGCCTCTAGTTTTTTACTAACTTGTTCTTCTTCATTCAAATACTTTTGATATTTCTGAAATAGTATCATCATATAGTAACATTCAATATTATTTTTATATTTCTTACAGATAGTATATTTAACGTACAATTGAAATAATATTATAATCTTGCTGTGTCTGTTCATTAATTTTAGCAAGATTTAATAATTTTGATTCAATGTTTGAAATTTTTTCATTATATGTTAATGTTATATTTGATGCAGTTTTAATATTATTTTGTAAACGAAAAGATAAAGATGTTAAATGTTCATTAATTTCCATTTCTTTTTCTGTTTCTTTCTTAATCTTTTGAATTTCTGATAGAAGTACATTATAAGACTTATGTGCTTCTCTAAAAAATAAATATTTGATTATATGTTTAACAGAATTACATACAATTTTTATGTAGTATCTTTGGTTATAAATAAGTGCTATTAAATGTAAAAAGTGCAACAAGCTATATTAATGGGAAATACATCTATCAGTATATTTTGAATTAAATAAATAAATAGAATAATAAAACAATTTTGAACTGCTTAAAGTTTTTATATACACATAACATCAAACTTATAAAATTTGTTATTATTTACTTACTCCTGTTCAATATGCAACTGGTCATAAGCATCATTCCGTTTCAAAATACTATTTACTACAGAGTTCCATATACCATGTAAATCTTTGTGTTTTCTATGTAAAGTTTCCAAATCTGTATTTGCATAAATTATCATTTTATTAGCATCTTCTTTTTCTTTATTTTTAATTTGTAACTGCTCATCTAAGTATGCTATTTCTGATTCAATTTTCCATACTTCTTCTTTCAGTTTATGTAAAATAAAATCTCTTTGTTGTTTTTCGTTAATTAATAGTTTCTTTTTATTAGCATCTTGTAATGTTATTTGTTTCGATATAAGTAGATAATCATTCAAATCTTTTTCCCACTTAGATAAACAATTATGGAAATTAGACAAATTTTGTAATTCTCTGGTAAGTTTTTCCTTTCTATTTTGTTCTTCTTTTAATTTAGAATTATTGTCTTCTAAAACTTGTTTAGCATCTTCTATAGTATGATTTTTCTTTTCTCTCATTAATGTTAGTTTTGTTAATGCTTCATTATATTGTTTTATTGTTACATGTTGATGTTCAACTTCTTGCTGAGTCAGATAAAGTTGTGTACCTTCTGACTGCAGCTCTTTTTCAGTCTGTTTTAGTGATGCCTCCTAAAAATAAATAACTTACAATGAAAACTTAATTCAAATTTTTAATAGAATGTTGTTATAAAGAATAATAAATAAAACACTGAACTCAACAATTAGTGTTTCCCCAAGAAAAAAACACATTTTAATATAATTTAGTAACAAGTATAACATATTTGTTACTTTCGACCTACACAAACAAGATAAATGAAAACATTATCAGTAAAGAAGTATCCTAATATTATACCCAATGCATTAAAATATAAATTTTGAATATATAATTCTTTATGATTCTTACGAGATCCAAGATTTCTTCAGAAAGCTTATTATTAAGACGCGATAGATGTGTATGAAGTGTTGTTTGAAATTTCTTCATCAATCTATCATCTGGATCAAGAACATTTAATGCAGGAGTTATGGAAGAATCCATTTTATTTATGTTTTCTTCTGCTAATTATTTTTCAAACGTTTCCTTGTTTCTTTATCTACAATACGAGAAATAAATCATAAATGTGAAACTTTATTAAATCCATTAAACCTTCATTTAACCGGCTTTCACGTTACTACTAATATTGACATATCATTTACATTTAAATGAACGCGGTGATCATGATAACGTCCATTAATTAAGATATGCGAGAAAGTTAACTTACTTTAAATGTGCTCTCAAAATTTTTCCCAGGGTGAGGGCACTACGATCGTTTTCTACAAAATTCGAATTGTCAGCTCTATGCAAATTCATTTTTTTTTTAAATGTTTCTTCTTTGTCTTCAAATTGTATAAAGAACAATTTATTTATCGATTTTTTTATTTCAATATTCAAAAATTAAAAATTCTTAGCGATTTTATTTATATGCAATACATGTATTATTCTAATATCAATTAACTAGATACGATGTAACTTAAAAAAAAAATAAAATAATTCATTGTACATAATTTCTCTTAATTTTTAAGGATAAAGAAATATTACATTTTTATAATTTTAGTAATATACAGAACTGACGAAAATAAAATTCCCTGACGGTTTTTTTAGGTGCAATTACAAAAAGTAGTAATATATAAATTTGTATATTTCTTTTGGCAAATAAAACATATATTCTTTATACAATGATTTAAGCAAATAAACAATTGAAAAGCTAGTTATTTTCTTTATTTCGAAAAATCACAGTAATTATCAGTTCATAACTCACATATGATACAAAATATTTAATACTACACAGTTGAGTTAATTTAACGAAAGCAAACATTGTTAATTATAGTTCTCACTTCAGTTTAACAGTTACTATATTTATATGTATTCTGCGATAAAAGGATAGCACACCCCACGAGTTCAATATTTTCATTTCTTGAACATAAAAAATATACTCAATCTTATGATGCTTATACATTTTTAGTTTGTGGTACATATTATTATTGCAAAGTGTTCAAAAAGAAGCCCCTTTGTTTACATAAATAAAAATATTACTAAAAATTAGTGAGATAAAATAATAGCACATAATTTAAAATTTTTCATATGTGAATAATAATTTTTAATACTTCATATTTTCTATTTTATTCTTCCTTTTATAATGTCAAATCTCTATTTTATAGGCCTATTATAAATGTACAATGTAAAAATATTTGTCGACAATTTGGTTTAAGCAACAACAATTTTTTGTTCACATTTTAACTTGAAAATTCAATGTCCGATAAACTTCATCAAGTGCAAAAGGAACAGAAATCCTTCAAACATATTAAACGCAAAAGATTACATAACTTCATAGAATACAATATACGATAAAACAATATTTTAGGATGTGCTATTTTTCTGTCACATGTCATAACTTTCTGAATTAATAATACAAAATTTTATTCCTAATTTATTAATAAAGTATTAAGAAATCATTTTACACAGACGTTTTAAGAGTTTTGAAAATTAAATTTTCTAAAAAATCTACAAGCTAAAAAATTGTTTTTTAATACGTTAACCCTGATTAAGTCCTGGTCCATGAAGTTCAATAAAACTTTCTAATGAACGTGGTACATGTCCACAGTACGACAAATTATAAGCTTTTATTACTTTTGCTGCTATACATTTTAATGATAATTTTGTCTGCGTCCTCAGTATTAATTCTACCACACCTGTATACATAAAAACAATATATGACATAAATATTTAATTAATAACTTTAAAGTCTTATATTACATACAAAAAAATTATTTTTAAATAGTTTATATCTCTTTACATATATTTAAATATTTTACCTTTAGAAACAGCATCATATGGAGTTTTTCCACTACTGTTTACAGTATCCATGTGTGCTCCAGCTTCTATAAGTTCCATGATAATGGAGTGAAGAGTCATAAAATTACTGAAAAAATTTAGATATTATTTATATTGTATATATAAATCTGTGAATATTTGGCAAATATAAATAAGTAATTGAATAAATACTTCTTGCTAGACTAACTATATAATTTAGAAAATTAATTGTACCTGATTGGTTTCCTATAACTAACAATAATATGTAATGGCGTGTTTCTTTCATTATCCATAGCATTTACATCAGCACCACACTGTATAAGTAGTTTTGCAGTTGCAGCACAAGGAAACCTATAAAATACTTAGTTTAAAAATCATGTTAATACATCAAATAAAAAATAAAATTCAAATTTAAAATAAGATATAATCTTTATATTATTATCAAATTAACAAAAACGAAAATGCTCATTGTATGAGCTGAATATAAAATAACAACAAAATTTATATCTTCATTTTTTTATGTTTTATTGTAATGTTATTTAAAAATCTTACTTGCAAACGTCATTAGTATGAAAATCATCAACGGGAGTTTCAGCATTTACTGCGAGGTGTAGTAAAGTTTGGCCATCCTTTAAACGTAATTGTAAAGCACACAGTTTATGAACTAAACGACATGCTTTATTTTTATCTTGCTCCTCGTATCTACTTCCATTTGATGTTAAAAGTCTTGTTAATATTGTTAATATATATAGTGTACTTAAAATATTTGATTCCATTTCTTCCTGTAATTGCAGAACATTTAATAGAATATCTTATTCATTTCTACATGTATTTTAATCATAACATTTTATTTATTTGATTAAAATTAAATTTTTAAAAATCGAATTGCGAATATAAAACATAGTCTCATTAATATGTAAACACAATTTAATTTTTATTGATCAAAATTTGTTTGAACTTACGATGTGTTGTTCAATATCCTCCTCTGAATCGGGATTAATTATTTTAAATTTATTATGGCTTAATTCTGTAACACTAGCTTCTAAAACATTTAAAACCTGAGAGAAATCAAGATCTACTCCTACATGTATCATTTGTGAAAATACCTGTCAATAAAATTATGGAATACAACAAATAAGCAATTAAAATAATTATTTTGTAACATTACTTAAAATATAAATACTTAAGCATACCTGTGCAAACCTCAGAAAGTCTTTCATAACTGATATATGATTTAATTGTTTTAAATACAGAGCATGAAGCCATAAGTCTATACATTTGTCAAACCTAGCATTATCTGCAAAAACTGCTCCTCTAAATATAATAGGATGTGGTACCTCTGGATTATGCGGTCCTAATATTGGAATTAAATTAAAATAAGATAGATAAAGAACGAGTCAAATAATGCTACTTTCTATAATTATTGATTATCTAATTTACCTAGTATTCTTTCGCGAATACATAATGATTCCATATGAAGAGCATTTTGGTTGTATTGAATACGTTCCAATCCCTCCAAAGTCTCACATTCTATCCAATTATCGTATGCTTTTATAGTTTCTCCCAACTTTTTATGAATAACATTTTCAGGATCACTAAATCTATAATATTCAAAGAACGATGCAAATTGTTCAAATGAAATATTAATCATGTTTCATGGAGTAACATATATTTACCTAAGTTCCATTCCTTTCCACAAATATTTGTATGCAGTTGTTAAACAGTAACTGCTTTTATCATTAGCATATGAAGCACCTAAAAGTTCATATGCTTCAATTGTTTCTTCTTTAGTAACATTTGCATGTTTGATCAGGTATTCTACAACTTCTGCTTTGGTACGTTCTGCTGCTGCTATTAATGGTGTCATTCCACTAACATTTTCTGTCATTTTTGTTCCATACCTCAACAATTCAGCCACTATATTAGTATGTCCACATTCAGCAGCTAAATGTAATGCTGTAGCACCACAGTGTGCTTTTTCATTAGGATTTGCACCTTTTTGTAAAAGAAATGATACCTGTTTTACAAATAATTAAAAGCAATTAAAATCATTAAAATTTAGTACATATTCCTTAACTAATATAATCATACTCACTACATCCAAGTGACCTTTATATGCAGCGATCATCAAACATGTATTATTAAACTGATTTGAAATATTTATGTCTGCATTATGTTCTATTAAATATTTAACTACATCTAATCGTCCATCAAAACAAGCTGCTCTTAAGGGTGTAGAAAGACTTTTAGTAGGATGATTAACATTTGCACCTGCCTTTACTAATGTTTTTACAATTGTTAAATATCCAGCGCCAGCGGCGCACCAAAGAGCACTTGCTTTTTCAATAACGTATCCATCAAACTTAACTGTTCCTTCTTGCTCTAAGTCAGGTTTAAATTTGTCAAGTAATATTTTAACAACTTTGTCATGGCCATATTTAGCAGCAATTATTAAAGGGGTACATTGTTGGCCATCTTCATCCAGTACTTTTTGATTAATCAGGGAATTAACTTGTTCAAGTGATTTGCTACTAAGAAGATCATAAAGAGCAATTGCCATACCATCCTTAGCAGCATAATACACCCTTGACAAAAGCGAATGTGACAGTTCTATTGAATCTTCACTTGGATTGACAGTTTCCATTTTATCTAATATACTGTTTATAAAATCCTTTTATATAACAAGCATTGTACAAAACCACTTTCACTACGATTGTTTCTCCTTTATGAAAATTGTCGATGTCATTATAACCTCGAATTCTTCACGATACGCATCGGATTTTAAGAAAAGTTATTTTAAGAACATACAAAAATATATATCGATATTCTTGCATTAAAAACAACGTTTCACTTCATTTAATCTTCTTTAGCGTTGACGCAGTTATTGCTATATATTTTATTTATAACTGTTTAATAGTTATTTTAATTTTAAGTGATGTTGCTTATTTTAAAAATATCCAACAGAAAACTGAAACAGATATTCCTTTCTTTAAAATCGAGTCTTACACTAATTGACACTGTAACCACAATTTTAACAAGATTGAGGAAAATAAACAAATATAATACATATTTAAACTACGAATCTACGTAGAAACTTTGATTTGTATACAATTTGTAGTTCGAAGATTTAAGTACACAATAATTATTGTAATTTTATAAATTTTTGTTTCATGATAATATTATTCTATATACATTTTATGCGATACTTGTTACATTTTAAATTTACTTTTTTATTTTTATAAATAAGTAAAATAAAAGTAATTCAAGTATCAATTATTTAAATAATAATAAATTTGTTGTTTATTAATGTATTTAAATTTGTATTTGTATTTATAAATGTTTTATTGCAGTTTTTATCATATTTACGTGATACAAATTTGTGTAAATAAATTTTATTTTAGTGTCTATGATGTATATACATTTTCTGATAGAACTATAATGCCAAATAACAAGATTTCGTTTTTGCCGCGTAAACCTCCTTTGCTCGGTGTGTTATGCGCACATACTCTAGCGATGTTGCGATGCCAAGCATATTTATACGGTGATCTTTTATTTAGGACTGGCATTGTAATGTTTCAAATAATTATTGTAACTTTGAAATTTCGAAAATTTATAAGTTTATTAAATTTGTATTTAGCCAGTTATCAGAAGTAAACGAAAATATAGATTCTTTCTAGAAGGTTTTTGATGAACATATTATTTGGCTACCGTTGACTTACATCATATATTTTTGTTCATCATATATATTGACATCACATTGGGGATACAGAGTCTTTTGAAGGTAGTCAAGATGCGCTGCGAACTATGGTTCTTTCGATATCCATAATCGAAAAATTGAAATAGCATTCCATCTAGATTTTCAGAGTTTATGATCCGTTTGAAAAGGGGCTGCTTTCACTCTCTATTGTATTATCGTAGCGTATAAGATTGAAAAGTAGGTGTAAGAAGTAAAATTATGTTTATTTAATATCACTAGTTTTGTTATTTATTATATATTATTAATATATTTTTATTATTTGTAGGTATATTATTATAAAAATGAGTAATCGATTTCTTTATTACTTCTATATATTCAAATAACAAGTTTATAATTTTGATGCAATACACTGGAGTTAATTAATCTACATTAATTGACAAATAGTAACAAAACACTTATCTAATATTATAATAATATGTATATTTAAAATAATGTGATATATCAATATTACATTGAATATATAAATCAATATCTGTAAACATCAACATTATTATTATAATTAAAAATAATTCATTAAAGTATAATACAGAATGGCTCCAGTGCCTTTAGAGGGTCATCAGACCCCGGTAACTAATAACATCCCACAAGAAGGAAATCGTGGTGGTTCTATTTCTCTTGGGATGCTGATCGATTTCATAATACAGCGTACTTATCATGAACTCACAGTTTTGGCTGAATTGTAAGAATATTTATATTACTGATATATTTTTATATTAAAATTAAAGTGATTCAGAACAAGAAATTATTTAACATCTATTAAATTTTAAGTTTTACTAAGAATTTAAATATTATTTAAGAGAAATAAAATAGAAATTAGTATGTGAAATGTTAACAGAAGTATGTGTTTACAGATTACCTCGGAAAACTGATATGGAACGGAAAATTGAAATTTATAATTTTTCAGCAAGAACTAGACAGTTATATGTACGATTATTAGCATTAGTTAAATGGGCTAATAGTGCTTCCAAAGTTGACAAATCTGCGGTATTCTAATAATTCTAATATTGTTTTAGTATTGTAGTTCAGTTAGTTCATATGTTAATAACTATATAACTAAAAGGAAATTTTCTTAACAGCATATAATGGCCTTTTTGGACAAGCAATCATTGCTTTTTGTTGATACTGCTGATATGCTTGCAAGGATGGCCCGAGAAACATTAGTACATGCTAGATTACCTAATTTTCACATTCCTGCTGCAGTTGAAGTTCTTACAACTGGAACATATAGTCGTCTACCAGCATGCATACGAGTAATTTTAATTTTCTACTACTGAATATCATATTAATGACAAATAGTAATATGTGTATACATAACTTTTTTCATAGGAAAGAATTGTTCCTCCAGATCCAATTACTCCAGCAGAAAAAAGAAGTACACTTCAAAGATTAAATCAGGTGATTCAGCATAGATTAGTAACTGGAAATTTGCTTCCACAAATGCGTAATCTGAAGATTGAAGCAGGAAGAGTAACATTTCTTGTAGAGCAAGAATTTTCAGTCTCACTCACAGTAATGGGAGATGGACCAACAGTACCTTGGAGGTTACTAGAGTTGGAAATTTTGGTTTCGGATAGAGAAACTGGAGATGGGAAAGCTTTAGTGCATTCACTACAAACTGGCTATGTGCATCAAGTACTATTTACTCCTATAAATTATTATGCCATTACATTTTTTAATTATTTTTTATTAAAATAAATAATTTTAATTGCAAGGTGGTTCAATCAAGGTTGGCAGAAAGCTCGAGTCCATTATCTGAAGTTTATCATATTTTACATTACTTCTGTCAATCGTTACAATTGGAAGTGCTTTATTCTCAGACGTTACGATTAATACGAGATAGGTTGGATGATCATATTCATGTGGATGAATATACACCAGGAAAATGTCTCTCCATATCGTACTGGAGAGAATTAACTAATAAAGATCCACGATCTGAATTGGGATACAAATTAACAGTGCAAGTAGATCAACATGATCCTGCAAGACCTCTTGCGATAGTACATGTTCCATCTTTAGGCAGTAAAGAAAGTGAAATAGCAGACAGAGCCATTAGATCGGACCAGTTATCAATGGAATGTTTATTAGTACATACAATTTATATACGTACTAGAAGTAGATTATTAGATTTAAAGCAAGAATTGCAAGCTATGTTGAAAGATGTTGAGTGTACTTTAGCTGGTTCACCTGCAATTCTTTCTGTTCCAATTTTGCAACCTTGTTTAAGAGCAGAACATTTATTAGTTACTGTTGATACTCATACTGGAATGTTACAATGTCATGTACCTCAATACGAAGCACCTTTGGTTCCTGAATTGACTGCTGCTTTAAATGGCGATCATTCTCGTCTTCCAACTTTAATATCAGAGCTTAGGTAACACTATTTTCTTATATTCTGCCATATATTTTTTATTTTTCAGTACCTTTTTACATTATTTCATATTGCAGATTTTGGATAACACAAAGAAGATGTGAAAAGACATTGCAACATCTTCCGGCAACTTCTCATGAACGTTTGCCAGTACTTCTTCACCCTGATCATCCAATATCAAAGATTAGTAGACATCGTATGTTTGTACAACTTCACCGACATCCTACAGTGATCCTAATAGTAGCATTCAAGGAAAAAGAATCTTCACCTTGTGAAATCGAGTGTTCATTTTATCTCGCAGTAGTAAAGCATAGTTCCATAGAGGATGATCCTCATGATGATAGTATTGAAACAGAAATTCCAAAAATGTACTTGAAAGTACAAAGTTTAATTGAATTTGATACTTTTGTCATAACTCATGGCCCTTTTACTAGTGTCGATAACGGTAAATTTTAACTACATCTAACAACGGCATTCGTATTTTTTTCAATAAGTAACTATTAAATACGTTACAGAAGCTATTGAAACAAGTACTAAACGAAGAAGTGCAGGACCTAGTGGAAGAACTGATGCTGGTACAATATTACAAAACAGAAGATCCAAACAGCCTGCATATTTTATTCCAGAATTAGCACATGTGGTTGCTCTCTGTGATGAAAGAATACCTTTTGTAACATTAGCACAAGAGTTAACCAGAAGAGATATAGCTCATCAAGGACTTCAAGTAGAAGCAAATGCTACTGCATTAGTTTTAAAATTAGTGCAGTTACCTGCTCCTTCTGTTGCAATAAGTTCTAGTTGTGCATGGTATGCACTTCTTAAAAGATTACTTAGCGTTTCAATTAGAGTCCAAGGTAAAGGTATGGCGAAAACATGGATGGCTGAATTTGTGTTTTATGGAAGCCCTTTATCTAGTAGCCATCCAAAGGAGCAAGGTAATGTATCATTAAATAATTTGGTTAAATATTCTCTAAAATAAATGATCTTAATTGAATGGTTTAAAAAAAATCTATATAATTTATATTAGGATTGAGGAGACCAGTATATTTTCAATATGAAATGGGAACAGCAGATACTGTGTCACGCACAGTAGATGCATTACTTAATGATTGGGCGCAAATTGTACATCTATATTCTATTGTGCATGATCTAGCAGAATATTTCAAAATGGGTATGGTTAACTTCGTTCAAAAAAGAATATTGATATTAAAAGTACATTTAATTGTAGCATTAACATAATCATTTATATATTACAGAGAAATATAATTTGCGTAATACAGTCAGTATAAAATCATATAATTATAGCAAATTGGTTTTAACCTATGGTCCTAATCGTGGAGCCACTGTTACTATACAATGGAGTATTAATGATAAAGCTTTTAAATTAATTTTTGGAAAAAGTAAGTATATGTATATTTTACAATTTATATTAGTTAAATAAATTATCAATTATGTTCACAATAAATTATAAATATTATCTTTATACAGGTCCAATGAGTACTACCAGTAATGCTCATTCAATCATGAAAGAACAACTTGAAGCGCATCTAAACAGACATAGAAACTTGGCACAACTTATACATATTCTTCATGAAACGCTTCAACCTCTTACATCAATTAGTAAACTACCCACAATTCCACAACTTTGTGTTTACAATTCGGTACGGTTTTAAAATTATCAATTATTAATATTTTTCTTCTTTTTTTTTAAAAAGAATTATTATGTACTATGCATTTTAACTGATTTATTCTTTATTATTAATTGTATTCTTTTTTTACAGAGACCTCAAGTACCAGTGCAAACGTTTACTATTATGCCACAGTGTGTAACTCTAGTCAGAATTGCATATCAAGGTATGTATTGTTTGGAACTTCGTTTACGAGGGGGTGGATTAGTAAGCTTGCGAGATGGAGCCTACAGTCGTTTCGATAGGAGTTATGTCGTAGATGAGTTTACTCCAACGCAAGGCCTTAAGGTATCATTTTATTTTTAATAGAATAAAATAATTTACATAATTTATTTATATATTGCAATTATTTTTTATGCTTGATTACAGGCATTTTTATCTAAATATGTGGACGAAAGTGCAGTTTTCCGTAGAAGATCTCAGTCAGAAGATGATAATCCTCCATCTCCTGTGACAATGGATAGTGATGGTGGTAGCGGTAGCGGAAACGTGGGCTTTTTAAGTCATCATAGAAGTGGGCCACAATCACCTGCTCAACAAAGAGATGGTTTAAGATTTCATCCTCCGCTTACTCCACCTTCTGGTAGCAATCCTCATACACCAGCCAGTCCGCATACTGCTAATATATCACAGGTAATTTTTAAATCTTTCTTCAGAAATGATAATGTTAAGCATTATCTTTTCATATTATTATTTAATTCTTTATTTCTTCTCAGACAAATCAGCATCAGAGTTTCGGAAGTAGTCCAGCCACTTCTTTCAATTTGGCTTCACCACCATCACTTCCACCTAACACACCTAATATGTTGCCACATCCTTCGCCAGGTTCTGGGCTAGTTGCTAATAGTCCTCTTAATCCAATGCACGTTCCAAGTCCAGCTGGATTGATGCCAACGTCTTCTCCAGGTCCTTGTAGTAACGTTCAAGTGGGACACTCTCCTGCAGGCTCATTCATGCAAACTGGTAAGAATTAATTAAACACAACTGAGCCTCTTAAACATCACTATCAGCTCTGTTTTTTGTAAATAACAATTGTAAAGTTTTTAATAATGTAGTATTGAGCAGTTTAATTAAAATGAAATAAATCACAAAATTTGTTTAGGTCACATAGATGGAAGTCCTTTTCCATCTTCACAGAGCATGGCTTCACCAGCAGCATCTAATTGGCCAGGATCGCCCAGTGTACCTAGACCATCTCCAGCACGTCCTGCACAAAGTCCAGGGCATGCTGCACTGCATAGTCCTCAAGCCTCTGATCATAAAACCGGAACACATATTTCAAGAGTGCTTCCACAACGTTCATGGGCTGGTGCTGTACCTACTCTTCTCACTCATGAAGCTTTGGAACTGCTTTGCTGTCCTTCTCCTCACCCATCTGGACTTTCAGGTCCTGATCTCTCGCCACTTGAAAGATTTCTGGGATGCATTTACATGCGCAGACAATTCCAACGATTTATTCAAACTGATGATTGTGTAAGAATTTCAATTTTAATCTATTTTAAACTCGGTGTTTATTGTAATATATTTTCTATAATATGATTATGAAACTAACGTTTTGAATATATTTTCAGCTAACTGCAATAAATAGTACAGAACCAGGAGTTGTACATTTTAAAGTTGAAAGTTTACAGTGTCGAGTTGGCTTAAACCCACAACATTTACAATCACTTCATATTAAAGTACAACCTCTTCCTGAGCATAAGGATCAATGGACACTTGAAGAATTACAAGTAATTATTATTTTACAATTGAATTTAATTTAGTTCTTTTTAATCTTACTCTATTTTTTTCAGATTATAGAGAAATTTTTTGATACAAGAGCAGCAGCGCCCCCATATAAACCAAATACACTTTCTGGTTTTGGCAGGATGTTAAATGTTCCATTTAATGTTCTGAAAGATTTTGTACAAATTATGAAGTTAGAGTTGGTACCAGCATTAGCGCAGCAACAGCAACTTAAATGGAATGTGCAATGGTGTTTAAGGATTCCTCCTTCTGGAACTCCTATTGTACCTACTGGTATGGCTGCTGTGCTTGTTTGCAGAAATAAAATCCTATTCTTTGTAAGTATGCTATATTTATAGAAAGTTTTTAACTGTAAAACTTTCATTTATTTATTCTTGCATATAATTAAATTTCGCTGCTTATTTTTAGAATATCATGCATAATTTACAAAAATTACTTGTTTCAGTTGCAAATAACAAGAATTGGATTGCCATATCAGGGAGAAACACCGTCATTGGTTTTACCATTAGTTTACGATGTTAGTACAAATTTAACACAGTTAGCTGAAAAAAGAGATCCTAGTCCGGCTTCTGCTATGGCTGCTGCATCTTTACAATTAAAGAGATTTGCTGAATATGGTGCAAATCAATCTGAGTGTTCTCTCTTTCCAGCTGTTAGGGATCTGTTAGCTAATTTAACTCTTCCTTCAGAACCGCCAGTCATGTCTCAAGTAAGTAAATATTATTTAGAAACATAAACATTGCATATAAAAAAAACGACTTTTATTTTTTTGATATAGTTAATATTCATAACTAACTATAATTTTGTAAAATAATTATTCACAGTAAAATTTTTTTATTTTGACAAAATGAAAAGTTTCAAATATACAAAAAGAAGTTTTCAGGCATAACATTGAATTTATCATTGAAATTTGGTGCAGAGATAAGCCTTAAAAATTGTAATTCTATTATACTTTTAAAAGTTGGTAATTACAAAGCTAATTTATCTGTATTGTATTTACAGGTAGTTCCATCACCAGCTGGTGGACAAGTAACACCAACACAACAGATACAAAGTCCTGCAATGCAACTACATTCTCCCATGGCTGGAAATCAAGGACCTCCACAGGCACCATATGGAATTCAAGGTATGCCTCCGGTGGGAATAATGGGTGGACCACCTCAATAGGATATGCTTTACTCTCCTAACCCCCTCTGTTTGCCGAATCAGTCAACTTGGATTAACTGAATCGTGCATTAAACGTCCGTTTTATAAATGTATAGATTTTTTTTAACGGACGAGTCTGGGGATCTATAGGAGAGTTTTTTCTTTACAGAGTGTTTTGTAAAAAGTCAGTATAAATGGTAATTGTAAAAAGAAATTTAGACAACAGATTGTTCATAAAAATATGTATACACCATAGAAGCAGATATCTTAGATTAATGTACGGATAGATGGAACAAATTCCATTTTAAAATAATTTATTAAATTAATTAGTTTACTTATAACGTCATCTATTCGTCTATTCTCCAGTTACTTTGTATCATTGTATAAAACTATATCCATTATACCGAAGAATCAAAATGTTAAATAATAACTTCATGTATTTTTTATAAAAACATCAAATATGTATTAAATTTTAGTATTTAGACATTGAATTTTGATAAGTTTAGTGGCAAATTTAGCAAAGTAAAAGAAATTGTATGATAAGTAACAAATTCCTTTTTATTATAAAAGTGACTGTGATACTAGTTCAAGTGTATAATAAAATGAATTTTATGATTAGATGTAGAATAATAATTCAAAACCATCTACACATCTAAGAGAAATATAGCTTCTAACATTTAACTTACTGTAATATGTACATAACTATGATTATATATTTCAAGTAAACTAAAATTTATAAAAATAAATTATTAAATAGTTTTTATCTTATTGAAAATATCAAAATCTAACAAATTTATTTAAACATTTTTAATAATAAATATAATTCTGTTAAAATCACTCCTGTTAGTATTATTACAATTATTTACATGTCTCCTTCCTCCAGTAGAATTCATTTAGGTACTTTTCATTTCACACACACAATTCATACAATTCATTTAGATTCATTTCATTTAGGTACTTTTTATGATCCACGATAATCTATAGCACTGCATTTTTTGTTAGTTTGTTATAAAAGTATTTATAACAAAGCTTAGTGAAGCTTCTAAATAAATGCTATACATTAACATATTTCAACAAGTTACAAGTAATTAAAGATGAAGTCCGAAGGAGTGTTAGAGTTAAAATTTGAAGCTTATAACTTAAATAGTATTCGTTAATGATGCTTTACAAATTTAAAAGATTATATCAGTATGAATTTTTTTCGGATGAACTTTGTTATTTATTGAATATGATTTTTATGTAACAGGATTTTGGGGGAAAATTTGTTTAAAAGAATAGAAAATTTTTATCACAACTTTTATACATTATAAAACAATGCAAAATACAATATATATTATAAAACATTGTACAATTTAATTTCTCTTATAAAAACGGGGATTACAATATATGTTATCTGTACACGCTAATATAATATGGTAAATACAACTTAAAAAAATAATGCGATATAATATTCTGTGTCAATTATTTTATATGTACATACAAAGTAGTTCAGCGCAAGCATGTGTAACTTTATTAAACTTTACTTTCTAATCTCTTGTATTTGATCTTGCAATAATTTATTTACAAAATCAAAATTGATATTGAATAAGTGAATTTTTCAATTAATTCACTTTAAAAAAGTGAAACGATAATATTTTAAATTCGGCAAAATATTTTAATGATTAGTTGAATGACTTAATTTTCTGAAATAATTACAATATATTTGTACAAGTTTGATTCTTATTTGCATAGTAAAAGACATTCAAAAATGTTCAATTTGTATGATATCTTTTAAGAAGGTAATAAAATATAATGGAGTAGGTGGTGAATATATATCCTGGGCTAGTTTCGAAGGAAACCAAGGAGAAGCCAAGGAGGTGCGAAGAGTTCGCTGTTAGTGTATCAGGTCAACAGCAGCACCAACAAGTTAAAACTGCAAACCAAAACGTTTTGTGTTCGCGATTTGAATACACAAATGATTGCGTGAACTGCTTCAGTTCGTTAAGAATTAAAACAGGCATGACCAAGTGGTGGCTTGCGAGCCATATTCAGCTATTTAACCCTGCCTAAATTTTCAGTTACAAATTTCTTAATTTTCAAATTTATAAATTAAAACTAAATGTGAAAATTTGAAAATGGAGCGTGTCGTTACTGTAATAAAAATCTACTGTATCTAAACTTCAGTCTGTAGCAGGTACATATACCATACAGTACAAATAATGGAGTAACTTGCAAACTGATATATAGGCATATAGACTAATTGATGGTCATGCCCGACTTAAAATATTTAGAAAAACTGCAATGTAATGAGAAAAATATAGAAGTTTGAATACATTATTATGCTATTGCATAAATATACAAAATTTAGTTTTTGTGAAGCTTTACTTTTTTAGAAAAGTAATTCTTACATAATTATAGGTGAATATAAATATATGAACTTACATCAATAACGAAAATATATTTTTAATATTATTATTATAATTATTTAAAAACTTAATCAATTACAATTTCAATAACAGAAGATAGCGACTTTAATGATTATTATTCAAAATCGTTTTAAATTTCGATTTCTATGTTTTACTTTATAAGTAATAACGATAATTTTATCAAAGTGAAAATTTACTTTATATTTGGTTTGATATGGAAGGTTTCAATGTTAACATTAAACCATGATCAACACAAAATAATTATACAAACTGTATTTTCATTGAAAAAGATTTAAATGTAAAATACTTAATTTTCTAAGTCTTACTTGAAAAATGCAAATACAACATCTCCATTGTTGTTTATTCACCAAGCCTGTTTCGACGACATGTCGAGGCAAGCTAAAAGAACGTTTTTATTAAATCTTCTTGCAAAACGTTTTAAATTTTTTACGTATTTTTTCATCGTTCTTCATGTTATTAGCAATTGTTCTTATTTACTCTCTCAATGGGATATTCATTTTATTGATGAAGAGGTGTCAGTGAAAAGTGCAAGCCTACCGTGTTGTGGTCGCCAATGACAGCAAGCTAGATGTAAAGCTAAAGCGATGACCACAATTTCGAGAAGTGCTAATGCACTTGCAACACCAATTACTATTGCCTGGTTAGCTTCAATTGTCCTCAGTATTGCATTATAACAACCCTGCAATATACACAATATTTATATACGTGTTTTCAATGTGATTTATACAATAAATATTACTAACTTAGTTTAGGTATAATTTTTATAATTATAAAATGATCCGACCTGTTGATACGAGTTATTAGGAGTAGGGTTGATAGGACAGGATGAATCTTTCAATACATTGTTCTCTTTTATGCAGCATGCTTCTGGAACAATTTTATCTGTAGATGTCCAATTTGTACTCTCTCGAAAATCTAAATAACTCTCTACTCCACAGCAGTGCAACTAAAACATAAAATATATCATTTTTAATATCTATCATCAAATAAGTTTAATGTGCGCTGTCTGATTAAATTATTTTTAAATCAACTTTTAATAACCTGTGTCATTATACCATCCCAAGCAACTGTAACTGTTTCTGTGTTATCAGCATTACTGGCATAATATTTAATTGTGGACTTCAGGAAGTTTTGTGTGGTCTTCTCTGTCTGTAAAAAATGAAACATTGTAAATTTTTTCTTTTTCTGTCAGGATTTGTCTGATTTTGATATATCGCAACAAAAATAAAAGGACTTACATCTCCTTTAAGTCCAAATGCTAAACCTACTACAACACATTCCAGAATTAAGATCAGAAGAATAACAACACCATACTGTAATTTAAAATACAATTATAATAATGCGATCATTGTTGTTTTATTTTTGACAACATTAAGTTACTTACAAAGCAGAGAAGGCATCGAGATTCAAACATTGCTCCACAATAACCTAAGAAACTAATCAGAAAGGTAAGTGCTCCTGCCAAAATCAAGATATATGATATTATCTTGATGACATCTGCATCCGTTTTGTTCTACAAAAACATAATCCAATTGAGTTATACGATTATATATTTTTAAGTTATTTCTTTATCTTACAGTTTAAGAATATGTAATTAAAAATTAAACTACCTATGTATGTTATTGTTAAATGAATATAACAGTTCTGTCAGTTCTGTTTTATTTATTAACATGTTAATGGCCATTCTGAAGTTATTAAAAATTACGTTAGTCAGTATCTTTCATTTATAACAAATTTTATCTATTATTTTCATGTTTAATTTTTTTCATTATCTAAAATAGTTAATAACTAATATAAATATTTCCAATTAACTGAGGCAATGAACTCCTAATTTGAGTGTTAACATTTTAATAAATAAAAATAATGTATATATACGTATGCAAAATTTTATACTGAATATTTCATAGAAAATAAAAAATGAATGAATTTAGTGAACCTGAAAAGAATATGGTTTCATTGAGCTAATGCCATATCGTATACTGTAATAATTATCCAGCAAGCAATCAGGATTTAATTGATGAATTCTTAACATTTCTCTAGTATTACACCAATAAGTTAAATAAAGAAGTTAAATAAGCTACCAATGACTTTGTAAACTTTAAAGATTAAGATCTTTTTATGAAATTAAATCGAGAATATATAGCCATAGAAATTAAAAAGAAAGATACTAAAATGTAATTAAGTTTTTATTACCTCAAACTGACAGAACTTTTGTATTTAATTAATCAGTTGTATGATATGCTAAATTTTATAAAAATACATCTTAAACATTAGAATATAATGAAAAATGATGAAATAAAAATGAATGAAAATAAAAATTAAAAACTAATTACAAAACAAAAAGAAATATTTTTGGTAATTTTATTAATAAAACTTTCACATCATTTTATAAAGCATATTTGCAACATGATAAAAGGGTTAATTGTAAAAAATTATAAAAATTGTACTATTTAGGTATTCATTTTTATGACATTAACGTTAAATATAATTTTGGGTACTTACAATATCTAAATTAAAAAAAGCATAAAATTTCTCCTTAACATTGTAATATTTTATAAATTTCAAAAGCAGATTTCCGGCGAAATCATATGCAAAAGAATGAAACCGAAAATCATGCAATATAAGTTTGCGAATAGAAAGTGCAAGACAACTATTTCTCTCGGTAGTTAATTAATTGGCAACGCTTTCGTGTTACAATCAACGAAGCATGAATCTGTTAAATAAATTCTGTAACCGACGACAAAGTAAGAGTTAATTATATTTCCGTGACTTTGCACCATCAAACGAAACAAATTCAGATTCATGGTTCTATCATGAATTTAAAAGTACTTTACTAAGGCGAAATTTATAACATTTTCAAAGCTATAAAAAATAATGTAGCACACGACTTAGACATTCTTTTTTTTAATTGGTTTCCGAAATTTGCAAATTCTCTAATTTCTAAAATTTGTAAAGTTTTGAAATTTGCAAATTCCTAAATTCCAAGTTTTCAAATTTTTTATTCATTAATCAACAAATTTTTAAATTTCTGATGTTACAAATTCTTTTAATGCCAGGTTACAAAATCTGAAAATTCAATATTGAATCCTACAAAATCCGAGTGCACGTATTGTGAAACTAATTGTAGTGAACAAGAGTAAGTTATAGGAATCGGTCATCATCCATCATGCGAGTGCATAGCAATCTCGAAAGCATATTTCCCTCGGAAATGTTTCTCAAACTGGATGCATATTTCTATCACGGACTACGCAATTTCAGGCTATCATTTAACCTTTGTTATTACATCCTGATATTTTTAAAGTTACCATTTTCTCAGAATACAAAATATAGTAATTTTCGAATAAAATTTAGAGATTCTATTTAAAAAAATTTGTCAAATACTTTTTTATATTACTAGGTCAAATGATGGCCACACTTGTGGCGAATAAAACGAAAGGTTATTGTTTCGATCAGACGAGTAGAACGGGCGCAATCAATGCGCCCGGTTAATCAACTATTTAGTGACATGACCTGCGCGCCTATTTATAACTGCAGCCTTTAATAAAATGTTTTAATAAAATTCGTCTCGTTTAAACGTGCACAAATATATATTGAAAATTTTAGTTTTCCAGGTTTATCAACCTTTAATTGATTTTCCAAAGATCACGCTAAAAATGTTTGCAATGGAATACTTTTAACTCTTTTTCCGAATTCGATTACTTGATCATTTACGTTGTTACAGTTTATTGATTGTTCGGAAACAAAGTTTCTTTCGCGGTAAGTGTGTTTAAAGTTTACCAGAATATCTGACTGGTCAAGCTTGCCGATGACATCAGCAAAAGAATTGCTATCGGCGCACAGCCAAATTCCAACGGCCAATGCAGCTCCTCCGGCTACCTAAAAACAAACAAATTGGTTTTCTCATTTTGTTAATTAACCTCTTAAATGTAATAATACGATTTCTTAGAAATGATTCAGAAGTCTTTCTCCGCCATAAGATTCGTATACTTACTGAAACGAGAGTCAAGTATAATAATCTAGACTCGTGGCGATATAACACGAGGATAAAAAATATGGCAATTTAATGTAATATACCTCGTGGCGATATAACGCGAGGATAAAAAACATGGCAATTTAATGCAAAATTATGACATATGACAATATAACGCGAAAATAAAAAAGGTAGCAATTTAATATTATAATTTATGGCGATATAACACGAGAATATAAGACGTGGCAATTTAATGTAAAATTATAACTTGTGGCGATATAACGCGAGGATAAAAATCGTGATAATTCAATGTAAAATTATAACTCATGGCAATATAACGCGAGGATAAAAACGTGACAATGTAATGCAAAATTATAACTTGTGGCGATATAACGCGAGGATAAAAATCGTGATAATTTAATGCAAAATTATGACATATGACAATATAACGCGAAAATAAAAAAGGTAGCAATTTAATATTATAATTTATGGCGATATAACACGAGAATATAAGACGTGGCAATTTAATGGATAACAATTTAATATTATAATTCATGGCAATATAACACGAGAATATATGACGTGGCAATTTAATACAAAATTATAACTTGTGGCGAAATAATGCGAGAGTATAATAAGTGGCAATGTAATGCAAAATTATAACATATGGCGATATAACGCGAGGATAAAAAACGTGGCAATTTAGTGCAAAATTAAAACATATGGCGATATAACACGAGAATATAGTGGTAATTGAACGCAAAATCATATATTGTGGCGACTTAACATGTGATAGTATAGTGCTTAATGGTACAATAAATAGTGATTTAACGCGTGACAATATAATAGCAATGAACAACTACGACCGTCTAGATAACCGAAATTGATCATATAACATACAATGCAACATGTAGCAATACAATGCGTAGCGATGTAATATATGGCGATATAACGTGTGTTGGTACGATATAATAGTTAATCACATAACGTGTGACTATACATATATACAGATCGTGACTAAACAACGATAATATTAATATTATAAATATTTTCTATAATACCGATTTTCACCCTGGGCTCTACAAACACTAGCGACGGTTCTATTTGAGAATGCGAGATTACAGAACTTGTTTTAATCGTTTTGTTACTAAGGTAACAGAAGTGGTAGCTTTTATAGCCGTTTGTTATAACATAAACACGAACAAAATTGTCTATAATTGATGCAATAATAGTTCACAGATGAAGATCTTCTTGAACAATTTTATTATATTATTCTAATAATCTATTTTAATTCACAACTTTGTATACAACGCTTAGAATAGCAATAGATTGATTTGATACGAAAGAGATTCGTGAATGTAAAACTTGTGAAAGAATGCGTGTGACCCACATTTTCCATGCATGTTTAAAATCCATTTTCTGAAACAGTTTCGTGTAACTTTCTCTATCTATTTTGAGAAATTCTCTTTACAAAAGTAACTGTATTATAATTATCTAGAAAACAGTACATGTAGGATCGTTAAGAAATTGAAATACTAGTAGACAAAGTTTGTAGTGGAATTTAGTTATAATATTGTAATAATAATTTTTTTAATAATAGCAACAATATGATATAATGATTCAACATGCAAAGTAACAAGATCACCTAGATGATACCTAAGATACAAAATGGCAATATAACGCGTGGCGCTATAACGTACGGCGATCTAACGCGGCGATTCCATATATGTATGTGCAGCTACATAATTTTTAGTGATACAGCACGTGGCGATTTAACACGTGGTTTTATGACCATGTTTGTGGTGGGACTGATTGTTTTCCCCTACATTACTTTTTCCCCTAGGGAAGTCTACTAAGGCTAGGAGTAACTATAATAAAGTAAAACAAGAAAAATAATTAACGAAGCAATTATTAAGAAGTGTAATAAAATAACTGTAACTGTCGACTTAATCTGTTGCACAAAGATAATTACTAATCTTGCATATGTATACGCTATCGTTCATTAGTCCTAAAACTTATCATTTTAAATATATTTAACTTCGTCGATCCTAATATTTTCACAATGACACATTTTCGAAGTGACATGTTGATCAACTTATGTTAATTCTGTAAGTAACTTACTATTACTGAAAGATGCCGAAAGTACAATTGCTATTTCATAATATTTCATATCTACTATTTATGGCCACTTGAAATACTGATACCTAAGTATGGCTTCATAGTGAGAATAAGAGGATGAACAAATTTAAATCTCCGATGGTAAGTTTTAAGATAAGTGTAGTACATGGTGTGTATGACTTTTAAGGAGAATTATAAGGAAAATATATGCTAATTTATAATACTTTCAATTTGGCAGAATTGTACAAATTCCCAGAAACAATCATTTTTGAAACACATGCAATGCTTACTTTTCAAAAATAAAATGTATGGTCAACATGTTTTATTAATTTGAAATAATAGTAATGTTCTAGGTAAAATTAATGGAATACGTGTTAGTAAAAATAAAGGAAGAATTTCTCATACTTTTAATACAAACAAACATGAACATAAATATTGTACATATAATACATGTATACTCACAAAGAAAACGAAATTGAAGAAACAGAGAAAATACTTGGCACACTGTGAAGCGCAGCTCATTTTGGCCTCGTCACTGTTACTGTATCTGTAATTAAACAAAACCAACAAATTTTTAATACTTATTTTCGAATAAAATAGTAATATTCGTATAGTGAATCAAAATGATTTAATTACATTGCTATTACTATTGTGCTGTTCTGTAGATTGTAATGTACAACTATATTATAATACTGTTTTACATAATATTATTAAATAATAGTACAATATTATACAATATTATACCATACAGGATGTCTCACAACTAGTGTAGGTTCATGAAATGGGGGGTAGCTAACGTGATTCTGACGTGAAAAATCCCTAGCTAATCAAATTCTAGAGACTGACAAATTCCCACAAAAATCACTAGATTGTCAATGGTTCTAAACAAATTCCTTTGATCATCAAATTCCTCCATAGAAAATCCCTAGAGACCAAATTCCCCAGATACCCGCATGTCTAAATTAAAATATCCCTAGATACTTATAACTCTGCATCCCCAAATATCTGTGTCTTTCAATTCATACATCCCGAAATTTCCCCAAACCAAAATCCCTAGATTTTCAAGTGACTAAACTCTAAATTACCTTCGTATCGAAATTTTTAAATTCTCAAATCTCTGAATCTTCAAAACCCCTTATATTCATATTCCTATATTTTCAAATCAAAAGCACCTAAATACTAATATCCCTAAGTCCCTAGATTCCTAAATTTACGAATTTCAATTCTCAACATTTACGTGCTGTCACGTTTGCATGGTTTTACAACCATTGTATATCGTCGTATCCAACCATACTATATCGATAACTTGATAGCAATAAAATGATATGGATATCGATCGTTATTCGTTGATTGACGTTAAATAATATTTCAAACGTTTATTCGATGTAAGGGAAGATGTTGGCTTGCTATCTGTAACGTCTTCGTGACGTCCCAATTACTCAATTAAAACATATTTGTCGTTGAAATTATCGTAGGCGGGAAACAAAGAGCTACGAAAATTGGCCAAATTAGGGCGAATTTCAGTTAATAAAGAAAACGTCTTTTGCATTTCCATTCGAATGCTGCATTGGAGGCCACTGCATTGTTGCCTTCAATTTTAATACAAACATTTGTAAACATTTCAACTTGTTTATTTTTCTAAACAAAATTTTTAGCATAATCATAAAGGAATCTTCTTTGAAATTTTTATTCGACAAATTTCACAAATAAATTTTGTTGTTATCAAAAATAGTTATTTGTAAGAAATTTTGCATTTATAAATGTTTTGTGAAGTGTACAATTTGTAACAAATACAAGTCACAATATATCATAATTATTTATAAATAAATATATTATTATTTATAATAAATTGAACTCAATAATCACAGTTTTTAATAAACCTTGCTTAATATTAACAGCTGGTTATTGTGATAAAAGATTACAAGTCCTTACGTGATCATAGTAAAGATTCTACTGTGTTCTCCAATCCGGCACAGTGTACAATCGAGAATCTCAAACAATGCTAATTACTCCAAGCATACAGGGTGTCCGCTGCAATATGGATTAATATTTTTCTCGTACACAATACAGATTTCAAAAAAACGCAAAAGCAAAAAGTTGTACTATATTTTATTTGCAACAAGATGACCTCTATCAACTTTTTATGTCTACAAAGTTTCGACTCTGAACTTTCGCTTATATCACGTAGTTTCCTACTTACGCCAAAGTTCGAGAAACGTAGAAAAGAATAGTTTACAACGGAAACTTCCGAATGAACGAACGTAAATAAATAGTAGCACAACGGTGAGACAATCCTAACGCAAGCGTAGAACATTTACTTTAGACTTTTTTTATGAAACTCTTACCGACATATTTATGACACGTTCCTGATTGGAATGAGATCAAACATAACGTAGTAATTTACTTGTAATTTCAAGTGTTTTACGTAAATCAAAGCGTTATAAAATTCGCGGTAAACAGACGAGTAATGACACGTCGGGAAATTCCGTTTTTCTTCGGTGCTATTCGGATAATCACGTGATACGTTTGACAGTCGAAATTATAGACTTCTATGGTTTTATGATTTCAAGGATATTACTCGTGTAAGTTATAACAACTAAATATGTCCCGAATTAATTTGTGTTACACTCATTTTAATCAGCAAAATGTTACAAATTTGTTAGGAAAAAAGTGGGGTAAAAATAAAGTAGGTTGTACAAAAAGTGAGTTAAAGTAAAGAAGTTAGCAACGTATTTGCATTGTAAATGATACAGCAGGCTTTCCATCTTTACTAACTGACATAATCGTAGTGCCTCTTTTTTTCACTTGCTATCCTCTTAAGTGTTACAAACTTCTATCATCTATTAAACCAATAAATACAGTCTAGATGATGTTATATTTGGTCTTACTTCAATCAGAAAAATGTAAACAATCAATTTGTAAAAGTTCGATAACAGAAAAATAAAAAAATAAAAAACTTGCAATGATATTGTCTCACGGATATACCCGAACTCGGATCATGTTACATTTCTCTGCGAGCTCAAGGCGTCTTCCCCAAATGATGCAGATAATTTTTTTACTTACATCGTGCTTTCGCTTATATCGAGACTTTACTGTGGCATTCAATGTAAAAAACTGAAGATCACCTTCGTATCTTGAAAAGTAGCGCAAACATAAAAAGTTGATATGGGTCATCGTATTGCCAGTAAAATATAATACATTCTCTATTTTTTTGAAATCCTTACCGTGTGCGAAAAAACTGGACCATATTACCGCAAACACCTCGTATAACTTCTAACACGGTAGAAAAAGCAACTACAATCATCGTATTCGTCTAGCAAGAAAATTTACACTTGCAGGCCTTGAATATCTAAGAAGAACGTATCATGCACTCTATGTACGTCCTTGGGTTGTATTCTGCGTATTATAACAGTTGACAATCTGGTTTCTTCTTCCGCTTGTATCTTACGTATGTATGTATTTTATATTAGGGTATAATTTTGTGAAGTGCGTGACGGTTGCGATACAGTAGGATTTCGATGATCCGATATACTAGGGACTTCGATGTAGTATGTAGTACCTACATACCCGTCGAATAGCTTGAAACCTACACACATATTTTTGAGGTTTCAGTGTGCAGGGAACCCTTGCTGAAGGAGGCCACGTAAATATCTTCTTTGTTTATTGTTGCATGAAACAACTTGGGACAAAGTCACTGCTGAAGTTATTTCAAGGAACACGTGCGACGACACCATTTTTTTGGTTCATTCTTTCCAAGGAAATTTCAAGATTAGTATTCTTTAAACTTTAGACAAAGCTATATTATATATATTTTAGTTTTTATGTAGACAACTACAATTTTTCTTTTTTTATGCACGTCGTAAAGAAGTTAGCAACGTATTTGCATTGTAAATGATACAGCAGGCTTTCCATCTTTACTAACTGACATAATCGTAGTGCCTCTTTTTTTCACTTGCTATCCTCTTAAGTGTTACAAACTTCTATCATCTATTAAACCAATAAATACAGTCTAGATGATGTTATATTTGGTCTTACTTCAATCAGAAAAATGTAAACAATCAATTTGTAAAAGTTCGATAACAGAAAAATAAAAAAATAAAAAACTTGCAATGATATTGTCTCACGGATATACCCGAACTCGGATCATGTTACATTTCTCTGCGAGCTCAAGGCGTCTTCCCCAAATGATGCAGATAATTTTTTTACTTACATCGTGCTTTCGCTTATATCGAGACTTTACTGTGGCATTCAATGTAAAAAACTGAAGATCACCTTCGTATCTTGAAAAGTAGCGCAAACATAAAAAGTTGATATGGGTCATCGTATTGCCAGTAAAATATAATACATTCTCTATTTTTTTGAAATCCTTACCGTGTGCGAAAAAACTGGACCATATTACCGCAAACACCTCGTATAACTTCTAACACGGTAGAAAAAGCAACTACAATCATCGTATTCGTCTAGCAAGAAAATTTACACTTGCAGGCCTTGAATATCTAAGAAGAACGTATCATGCACTCTATGTACGTCCTTGGGTTGTATTCTGCGTATTATAACAGTTGACAATCTGGTTTCTTCTTCCGCTTGTATCTTACGTATGTATGTATTTTATATTAGGGTATAATTTTGTGAAGTGCGTGACGGTTGCGATACAGTAGGATTTCGATGATCCGATATACTAGGGACTTCGATGTAGTATGTAGTACCTACATACCCGTCGAATAGCTTGAAACCTACACACATATTTTTGAGGTTTCAGTGTGCAGGGAACCCTTGCTGAAGGAGGCCACGTAAATATCTTCTTTGTTTATTGTTGCATGAAACAACTTGGGACAAAGTCACTGCTGAAGTTATTTCAAGGAACACGTGCGACGACACCATTTTTTTGGTTCATTCTTTCCAAGGAAATTTCAAGATTAGTATTCTTTAAACTTTAGACAAAGCTATATTATATATATTTTAGTTTTTATGTAGACAACTACAATTTTTCTTTTTTTATGCACGTCGTAATAATTTAACACTTTAACTACTGTCATAATTTCATTTTCAACAAAATTAATATTTTTAAATATATTATAAGGTTAGTACATAGTATCATTAAATTTTAAATTATTACTACTATTATTTCTCAACTTATACAATCAAAAATATTGCTAGTATACTTGCAAAGGTACTATAAAATGGAGCTTACAAAACTAACGGTAATTTCATTATGAACTAATTTATGTTGGTGTATTAATTTTAATAGCGATCCTCTAAAGACATAATGTGACTCACAACGGTATTATGAATAATGAATATCATGGTTTTCAGTCTATGACAAGGAGTGACGCCATTTTATTTTTACAATTAACCGCGAATGAGTTATGGGTGGTAAATAAAGATATAGATACAGAGTGGAAAGTTATAGGACTTTACCGAACTATTCAAGTTTTTGATTAGGATCCGAGATAAACTCGAGATAATATCGCCCTAAATAATCGAGACTACTGCATATCATTAACTCAATATTAACACATTCGCACGAGATGACTCATATTTGAGTCT